TTATGTGCTGAATCACACTGATTGAATTGCATATACTGAACCATTTTATATATTCCTGAAGTGAAACCAACTTGACTGTGGTGTCGCAACTTTTTAATGTGCTACTGAATTCTACTTGCAAGGATTTAGTGAGGATTTTTTCAAACATGTTCATCAGTGATATTGGTCTATAGTCTTCTTTGCTGTGCTTCACCAGGTTTTGATAACAGACTAATGGTAGGATTGTAGAATGACTTTGGAAAGATTAACTTCCCTTGTATTTTCTGAAACAGTTTGAGTAATTGTGAAAGAAGTGATTTATAAGCTTGGTAAACTTCAGCAGTGTATCTATCTGGTCCTGCACTTTTCTTTGTTGGGAGACTTTATCGATGCTTCAAACATATTGCTTATGATTGTTCTCTATAGGTTTTATGTTTTCTTTGTTCAGTTTTGAAAGATCGATTATATCTAGAAATTTCTCCATGTCGTCTACTTTTCAGAATTTTTCAGTATATTTTTCAAAATGTTCCTTAATTGTATAAGCATGGAACTCTTGCTTGTTTTTATAATCTATGCTCTTAGAATATCCTTTTCTGACCTCCCATTTCCTGTCTGGGTGTGCCTTACCGGTATGGTGTGCTTCTTAAAGCAGCAAATAATTGGGTCTGGGTTTTTAATCAAATCAACCAGACTGCATCTTCTATTGGAGGTTTTCTACTATTGATTTTCAGGGTTATTGAAAGATTTATACTTTTCCTATTCATTTTCTCTTTCTTTTTTTGATGCTTTGAAATGATCTATGTTTGTTTCTTTCTTCATTATTATCAGAAAATTTTGATGATTCACTGAGTAATATCTGATTTTTTCCTAATTCTCATTTGCTTGTTACGCTTCCACAGTATTTTCTTTTATTCCTTCACGCCGATGAGGGTGCTTATCTTGTGTCACAGTGTAGGCTTCCTTTAAGTACCTTCTGTGATGCTGGTTTAATGGTCCTGAATTTCTTTAGTTTGTGGTTACCTTGGAAGGTCTATATTTGTCCTTCGATTCTAAAACATAACTTTGCTGGATATAGTAATCTAGGCTGGCAGTTATTTTCCTTTGTTTCCTGAAATACACTGTTTTATGACATAATGGACTTCAGCATTTCTTCTGAGAAACTTGTCATTCTGATGGGTTTTTCTTTATATATGACTTGACACTTCCTACTTGTACCTTTCAATATTCTTTCTTTGTACTTTTGGAAGTTTAATTATATCATGCATTGAGATATTCTTTTCTGGTGATGTTTATTTGGGCTTCTGAATGCCTCTTGTGCCTGCTTCTCCATACTTTTCCCAATGTTAGAGAAGTTTTTTGATTATTTCACTGAATGGGTTTTGTATGACTTTACTTTTTACATTGACTTTTCCCTGGCTTACTCTTAAAATTTGTTTGTTTAGTCTTTTGTCTAATTGTAACTTGGATCTTCTTTTCATTTTTTTCTTCTTAGGTTTTCATTGTTGTGTGCATATAGTAATTCATTAATCTTGTCTTGAAATACTAACATTCTTTTCTTCTGCTAGATATGTTTTATTAGTGAGGCTTTCAACTGAGTTTTTATTACACTTATTAAACTTTTAATTTCCAAAATTTCTACTTGGTTCTTTCTCAGAATCTCCTTTTATTCAGTTTCTCTTTCCTAACCTATATTGGCTGCCATAACTTATTCATTTGTTTGTTTGCATCTTCTTGGAATTTGTTGATTATTTTTCATAATACTCTTCTCAAATCTCTGACATTTTATTCTCTCCAATACCTCTGGTGTCTGTTACCAGAGAATTATGAACTTTTGGAAAAGTAATGTTGCCTTCCTCATTCATATTTCTTGTGTTTCTATTCCAAATTTGGGGGTATGGATATCTCTTCCAATTTTACTTGAAGGCCTTCTACAACAGCCTTCTCACAGCAATGCATTCTAGACTAGCAAATTATTACTTAGCATTGAGATTAATTGTAAGTACATTTGGTAGTGTAGATTCCCTTTTGCTTCTTTAGCAACAGCGATTCGTCAATTTTGACACAATATATACTGCATCAGAGCAACAGGATCCCGATTTCTTTGTGGATCTCACAAAACTGGGGACCCTGTTGTAGTTCAGGAAGTTGCGTTGCAGACACCCAAGTGTATGAGATACACATTATGTGGTTATTTTTCCATTCCTGTCAGTAACATGTGGTCTGATAGCTTATGGGTAAAACCTATGCTGGGTGGAATGTACACAGTTTCTGTGTTGCATTTCTCTGCTGCTACTGGGTGGAATTCCAGGGACACATCTTCAAGCCATACCTACCTGGGGCAGGTTTATTGGCTGGAGGCTTTTGCCTCCCCTGTTGTTTAAGATCCAAATGGCTCTGGGTAATAAGTGGAGGTATCTGTAAATTTTTTAACTGGGCTGAGAGTGTGGCTCAGTAGCAGAGCAACCATCCAGCAGGTGTGAAGGATCAGTCTCAAGCTAAAACACCACATAGTAAGAGCATAAAAAAAAAAAAA